GACCTCAGAGAAGGGATTGTAGGAGAAAAGATTGTGCTGTGGCCTGTGGCGAGCACTGCATACAGAAGCCATCTCGAGCTATCCGCCATCTTGAAACCATTAGGCTTCACTTCCTCACTGAGCAAATCGTTTCTCAGAAATCATGTGACCAACCGTTCTCCCCGGAAGTGGTTGGGTTTCTAGGCAACGGGAGAGATACACCCACATCAATGAATGGTTCATGCTGTTGTATTTCATTTGCATTTTGGGCAACCAATTGGTTCCCACCAGCTGTATATAACTCGCCATTTTTCCTGAATAAACGGAAGTAGACGGAAGACGACAACTTGACCAGCACCTCGTAGTGTGTGTGCGTGTGTTTGTCCCATCTCTCACTCCCTCCCCCAAGGAACCTGTTCCATGGTCCCGCAGGACGGGACAGTGGCCATTCCCCATAGGGGTTGATTTCTTGTTTACTGTCTCTCTGGAGAGTGCATGCGCCCAATAGCAAAAATCTCTCAAAAAAAAAAAAAAGCGAAATATGATGATAATTTTCCATTGTGTTATTTCCTAGTCATCTTTTCATTTTCTCCCACACAATGGTTCTCTATATCTTCAAAGACATGCTAAACCTTTAAGGAAACACTTCCGTTTTTTTGAGAAGTATTAAGAAATTTACTGAATTTGAGAGCACTAGTGTTAAAAATTTATGGATAGCATACAGTGGTTCTACTTACAGCTGCTATTAAATAAGGTCAAGTCATGTCCAACTGATATCAGATATATAGTGAAAAATGATACTACATAAAAAGATAATCCCCTAGTCTGTGTAATTTCTTTGTAATAACTATCATTAAAAGACAGTTTTTTCTTTTGTCTTTTTTTTTAATATTTGAGTAGGTATTCAGTTATATCTATGTGACTTTGCAAGTTGTGTCAGGACTTTCTATTCCCCTCTTGCTCGTAAGAATATTGCATTCTTACAGCATGTTTACTTAAAGTTAAATCTGAAATAATTATTCACAAAAAACAGTGTGCTCAAACTCTGTTAATAGATTTTGCTTCCTTTCTTACTCAAGGGAATAAGGAACTTAGTCCCAGCTTTATGGGAAGTTGTCAGGGGCAGCAAAAACAGAGGTATTGATGGCCCCAAGAGCAATCCTTCATGCCAGGTAGTGACACCTAGTGGAGGAATTAAAGATTCTGTATTGAAAGCACACTGCAATTTAAAATAACCTCTAATTAATTGGTGGAATCATTCTACCTGGTTAAATTAATTGACACTTAAAAAATCAACTTCAGTTACTTGGACTATGATGTAATGCACACATTATTATATGTAATACATAAGACAGACACTTGAGAACCATCTAAGGAAACCACATGTGTCTCATCTTGTCTAATAATCCACTAGTGAGATATGCTTACTCTAATGCACTCTGTGTTAAATTAATATTCTACTTTTTGGTCTTTCAGAAAACTGAAAATTATCTCTGTACTGACTGACATGCATGGCATTCCCTTTTGAAAAAACAATGTAATACACTGTAAAGTTATATGTAATCCAATGTAATATAAAGAAGATTATGATAATAATAAAAATAAAAAAAATAAAAAAAAATAAAAAAAAAGAACACTGAAAATTAAAATTAAAAAAAATTAAAAAAAATAAAAAAAAGAACACTGAAAATTAAAATATTTGATAATTTTTACTGCCCTGTTTGGGTGTCCATATGTTCAACTTAGGTATATTATAAAAATGAGAATGATCAATGATAGACAGTAAGATGATTCAGGTTAGATAAATAAACCAGGTGACATTCCTGTAGCTGTATTTTTAAAAGAATTATTTATTTTTAATTTTATTTATTCATTTATCTATTGTAATTTGACCATAGAGAGACAGACAGAGAGAGAGAGAGAGAGAGAAAGTGAGAAAGCAAGCCACCAGGTCTGGAACTGGAACCCTGATCGGCCATGTGGGAGTGTCCAGCACCTTAAGCCCCAGGCCACCTGCTGGTCCCCCTATAACTGTGTTTTCAATGCAATTTATTTTATAAAGTCATTTTGAATTAACCACCATAATGCCAAAAACATTTACTGTACATTTGCTGCACGATGGGGTGTAGTAGGATTTTTATTTTATTTTTTAGTGAGATTTTTGTATCTCCATGTCTCTTAATGCTAGAGAGACAAAAAGATGCAG